TGACTAGTAGAGATGGGCAGAACCAAGACTGGGATCCAAGTTCCTGTGACTCCAAAGCCTATATGTTGACAATGACCATAACTTTGGTTAATCCAGTTTACCCCAGAGCTTTGTGTATTTCCTCTAGCCCTACCATTGCCATAAAGGTAGTAGGACAAGTGGCTCTAGGCCTGTCCTGTAGGACAAGCATACATCTTAGATTTTCCAGAACTGTCTTGCTGATTTAAAATATTGTCTCTTTGTTTTCAAAAAGTCACCACAATGTCCTAGAAATTCAAGTGTTTCCTCAAAATGGTAAGTGAATAAACATTGTAATAAAATACACAGAGTCCCTCAAAATCATTTGTCAAATCACATTTCCTTATTTGTGATTCAGATAATATGACCCAGATACCACTATGTCACTTAGTCCCTTAGACATGTCATGGTGATTTGATGTCTATTGTATCCAATAAATTCCACCCTACCTAGGGAGGCTAGTTTATGTAGCATAAAGTGAAGGGTAGGTTGAGCCATAATCCAGTTCATGTGATCAGTAGGGCACCTCAAACTGGATGGCAACTCCAGATACACAGTTTAGGAGCTAGTTCCCCACAAGGACATTTCAGTGCACAACCATTCAAGATGTATATTTAAAGCCACACAATTGTCACCCTAGAGACTCCCAAACAGCATAGCTGAGTCCTCAAGCTGCCAAGATCTGCTCTCCAATTACAGGTACTTATGCAGGACCTGAGCAATCAAATTCCAGTCTCCTGGGCTGTGCTACTCATCTGTCTTAGTCTGACCCTGAACCAAATCGTGTCCATTACACACTGAGACATAATCGTGATCTGTGTATGTTCACAATACCTTTGCCCTGTTTAATACTACAGGATGAATGCAAACACCTCTAAAATATGAAAGAATTGGTTTGATCAATACATTACGCAACACCTTCTCAGTCAGTAAATTATTAATTAATAAGTGAAAGCTTTTCCTAATAAAAATGTGATATAAAAATATAATTTCCTATTTAAATCATAGTCCAAGACTCAAATATTGATTTCTTCTCTGGTAATTATAGGCCAAATGTTTAAATTGTAGTCTTATCTGTTAACTAAGTATTTTTTTCCCTCTTCATCAAAAACTACATCCATAGGAACCACTAAACTGAACATTTCTTACTCAGGATTCTCTTAAACATATGTCATTAATTTTTTTGGAATGCAGTCTTTGTAGCTCCTATTTCCTCTGCCTGGGACACCCTTCCCCCGTCTCCTCGTGGCTTACTCCTTCACTTCCCACCAGACTTAGTTCAAAGATCACCATATTAATGGCCCATCACTGATCACGCAGTATAAAATCACATCCATCATCCTCCCCTCCCTGTACTCTGCGTTCCTCTCTCCTGCTCCATTTGTATCCCTCGCACTTATCTCCATCCGCCATTTGTAAATGTAACTCATTTGTTTTGTTTACTTGATGTCTGCTCTCACTGGAATACAAACTTAAGGAGATCAAAGATTTTTTTTAAAACTCTTTTATTTACTATTATATCGCTAGGGCCTAGAACAGTGCCTGGCACACAGTAGGAGATCACTAAATATGTGCTGGATGAATATTTAACAGATTGATGCAATTTATTTTATCAGTCACTTAATACAAAATTAATGGCAATTATCATATCCTGTGTCCGATCCCGCCTGGACAATATTCATTTGTTGGCAAATTTGTTATCTGTTGTTGGCAAGCGGCCATTCAGAGCTCAGGAGCTGCAAGGGTTTCAGGGGGAACTAACATTTCTTGGGTGCTCTTGAGCTATGGACAATCACTAAGTATTTCTCTGAAATTCTCAGCACAAACCAAGCAAGTATCAGGTGGAGGCAACATGATGGAAACACCACTGTCCTGGGCTCCAGGACTCTGTATCTCTGTGGTGTCGGCCCAGTCACTTAGCTCTCTGAGACTCAACTGCCTCAACTGTAAAATGGAGGCCAGTACTTGCCCTCCCTCCCTTATCAGGCTAAAGCGTGGGTAAAATGAGAAATCTTTCCCCACTTCCCTATCACACACTGCTTACCCTACTCTCTGGGTCCTACTCTGTTGCAGAAGTCTGATCAACTCACCAGAGCTAATGGGTATTAATGGGTTAATGTACGTGGATTTTAAAAAACTTATTGGAGATTTTAGGGAGCTCTTGAACTTAGTCTGAAAGAACAATTTCAGATAAACTATGAAGGTAAGAATTTCAGCCAGAGTATGGAGCAGAGTATGGGGCTGGCAGTTCATTGTTTAGGGGGTGATGTTCCTTTCGGCATGCACTAAATAGGACTTCAGACTGATCCAGGGAAAAATAGCTACAGGCTCTGGAGAATTATTGATCGGATTTTGCAATTCAGGAAATGTCCTGAGTACCTGCTATGTACCTGGTACTCAGTGAACTGGTGGCTCCAGCCAGTTACCTTACATCAGCTACATGTGCATGTTCTCTGATGTGCCACTTCGATCATTGTCTTGCTACAAAGTAGCAAAACACAAGGCACCTAGGAGAGGAACCCCTCCACCCCTCCTCAACAAACCCTCAGTGTTGTCTCTAGATCAGGGATGTGCAATCTTTTGACTTCCCTGGGCCACATTAGAAGAAGAAGAATGGTCTTGGCCCACACATAAAATACACTAACACTAATGATAGCTGATGAGCTAAAAAAAAAAAAAAAAAAAAAAAAGGCAAAAAAATTTGATAATGTTTTAAGAAAGTTTAGAAATTTGTGCTGGGCTGCATTCAAAGCCATCCTGGTCTGCATGCAGCCACACAAGCTTGTTCTAGATTGATAGCCATCCTGTCTCCAACCCCAAGGAACACTACTACTGTCCTTAAACATCTGAAAATACTTAGGTTAAAATTTACCTACTAGCTTCCGCATTCCTGTCCTTTGTGTCATACCAGATTCCCCTTTCTTTTTGGCTATTTTTCTCCTTCCCTCATGTTTATATCTAGGTTGGCAGTTGACTTATACTGGGAGGAGTATGGTGTGGCGGTGGTGGGTGCAGTTAAACTCATTATACATTGTCAAACCGCATGTCTGTTAAAATCTCATAGAATCAGCTAGGCATAGTGGCACATACCTGTAGTCCTAGTTATTTGGGAGTCTGAGGCAGGAGGATCATTTGAGCCCAGGAGTTCAAGGCTGTAGTGTGCTGTGATGGAGCCTGTGAATAGCCACTGCACTCCAGCCTGGGCAACATAGAAAGACCCTGCCTCTTTAAAAAATAATAAAAAAAAAAAAACCACTCATAGACTGTGTGTGGTGTTTGGGTTTGGGGCTGGGCTTATTGCATTCTTGGCCAGTTCAGTCTGTGCTTCATAAGGAACATATCTGATGTGGGTCTGTGATGTGCATCTTTGTCCTTTATTAATCTTTCACAGAATAGTTAGGGCCAAAGTCTTCTAAGACTTCTCCTGAGAGAAAGGTTTAGGGGAAAAAATGTATTATCTCCTCTCTGGGCCTTTAAGACTTTGAGTATGGGAAAAAAGAATTTAAAAAAAAATTTTTTTTGAACCTCATCCTCCATCCAGACTTTCTGACTAGTACCAACAAAGTGTAATCTTGATACATAGAGTCTCAAAACCCAAGATTTTCATTCTTTCAACAAAAATTAATTGAAGTCTTCCTATGCACCTGAAGATAAAAGAGTGACTAAGACAGACATGGTACCTGCCCTCCAGGAACTTTCAGTGCAGGAGTCTGGCAATAAATAAAGAAAACAAACAAACAAACCTAAATTATGTTAAGTGCTGAGAAGGGGGAAAGCATGGGGCAGTGAAAAATAAATACAGGAGGAGCTCATTTAAAGTTGGGGACAAGGAACAAGAAAAGGCCTCAGGGGAAGAGTAGGTGGAGTCACCTAGGTGAAGGGAACAGGTGTTAAGCTTCAGACTTAGAGTCTTGTTATGAAGGGCTCTAGGATGGGAGTGGGGACCAGTGAGACTGAAGCCCTGGAAGTGGGGCAGAGGGGTAGAGTCCTGGCTGGACAGGGAGAGGTGGGATCAGGCAAGGATGTAGGCAGACTCCCCAAAGTTCCTCCCAAGCCAACTGATGTCCCCCCAGCACCTTTAGGGGATGGAGAGTATGGCGGGACACTGAGCTCTGCCCCAACCTGGTTTCTTTTGGGCAATGTTGATCTTTTCCCTGCAAATGAAGTTCCCATGTTGACTTATTAATTTGGTAAGGACAAAGAAGGAGTGCAGAATGATGGGAAATGCGCAAGAGGCATTTTTGATGTATAAAGTTGAAGCATCACTTCAATTCCAGTCAAAACCAATTTAAACCTGTTTAGACAAAACAAACCAACAAAAAACCCTGCTGGCTCCAGGGAACTAGTGATCTGCCCTGTTGCCACTACCCATTAACTGAATTTCCCCCTTTCTGCACCCGCAGGCTCTTTCCACACTCTCAACAAATATCTTTTTTTTTTTCTCCTCACTAACTCTATCTTATCTCTAAATGCCGTGTCATGTAAAAGTTGGTGGGCCCTGCTGAGGTCAGCCCTGAATACATGAAAATCCTTATTCCCCTTCTAGCTGACCTAGCTGAAGGATATCACCAGGTGAGAAGCAGAGGCCAAATTTAAGAAAGAGGAGATGCTCCCCTAGCTAAATCCTTCAGAGACCACCTGGGTGGCAGAAATGTAGGAGCGACTGCATAATGGCTCCACCATTGCCCACACCGTAATTTGAGCTTGGTAAGTGTTAACAATCCTTCTCCCTGAAGTTTCTCTCCAGAAAATATTTGTCAGGTTGCCTCACATGCCTTAGGCTGCTCAGGCTTCCACACAGTATATGGAAGAAGCAGATACTTCATAAGAACATTTATCAGTAGTTCCAAGCCAACTGACATGTGACCTTGACAGCAGTTCATGACAGATAACCTAGCATACAGCAAACACTTAAAAAGATAGCCACATCCTGATAACGTCAACATGATCAACACATTGCTGCATTTATGACTAACTCAATATCTCCCGCACATTGGGAAAAGAGTTCATCTGTTGCCAACGGGCAAAAGACTTTCTCCACAGTCCGCCTGGTATTTGGGCTTCCTCCTGAGCTATTGAAAAGAATAGCAACTGTTTTTTGTCTGCTTATCATGAGGCAGAGCCTGGGCTAACCATTTATTGAGTTTACTCATCTCTGTAGTCTCCACAGCAGTGTATGAGGTAGGTACTAGAGATGGGGAAAAATCTCTGTTTTAGAGATGGGGAAAAATAGACAAGAAGGTGGTATGAAATTTGGACAATTTATACCCCTAATAAGTGGTAGAGGTGGGAATCCAACTCAGGTAGTTTGACTCCAGATACCCCTTTAAACTATTTAGGATTGTCTATATTTGCTGGCACCACAGGGGACCTGTCAGGTATCATGGTTTCTTATAGTCCCCTGATCAGGGTAAAATTATAGCTAAACTGGAGAATAAGTTCTAGTGTTCTTTAGCATTGTAGAGTGATTATCATTAATAATTTATTCTATATTTTCAAATAGATAGAAGATACAATTTTGTACATTCCCAGTTCAAAAAAATGATAAAGGTGAGAGGCGACGGATATGCTAATTACCCTGATTTGATCATTACACGTTGTATACATATATGGAACTATTGCGCTGTATCCCGTAAGTATGTACAATTATTATGTGTCAATCACATTTTTTGGAAAAGAAAGTAAACGGAAACCACTGGAGTCTAGATGTGATCTGGAGGCCAGGGGATGTGGAGAGAGTGGTTTCTGTGCTCCCCTCATTGTGGGAGTAAAATCGCCATGCACACTTCTCCATACTCATTCATGGATGTGTCTCTTTAGGATTTATTATACCTGCCCAGGTTTTGGATGAAAAGATTGTGCTAAATATGAAAACAAGGACTTTTTTAAAAAATCAGACAGTTTGGTTTCACATAGCTAATGAATTGTGTGAAAAGGAAGTGTGTGTGTGTGTGTGTGTGCACACTGTAAAGGTGTTTACTTCCATTAGTGAGTATGGAACAAAAGCATAGGCTGCCAACAAACTTCCCAGTGAGCTGTGATCATGCCACTGCACTCCAGCCTAGGCAACAGGGGTAGATCCCGTCTCAAAAAAAAATTAGTAAGAAGAGGGTCACAAATATTTGCTTCACTCTTTTACTCCACATTCTGCTCTCTATAAAATCACACACAAAGGGATGAACATTGCAGTGATTTTCTAGTTACTGAGTTTTACCAGTATTGACTTTAATTTCTGTCTTGTTAGATCTCTCAGCTGGGTTATCGTGTTATTCAACATTCCACGCATATACCAAGTTTACTGTCTGAAAAGTCTTGAGCTTTTCAAGCTGCTGCAAAGTTAACTAGGAACTTATCAGACCATTTGTAATTACTCTTAAGATTGCTTTAGAAAAAAAGCAACCTATTATATAACCCTTCTCCTGTTTGTGCTCTGGTTGGCCCAGAGCTAAGTGAGACCGGAACACAGATGGGGGTCAGAATAGCCTGTTCCAAGTGGGCTCAGACGTACCTGATGAGGAAAGAAGAGTTAAAGAACAATCATTCTTCTACCATCAGCTCCATCTGGGGCATGTGAGAAATTGAGAAAAGGGAAGGGGATTCACAATTTATGGGCACCTTCCATAGTCCAGGCACTGTGCTAGGAGCTTTCACAAATATTTTACAGTCTAATTGTTTCCATTTTATAGTTGATAGCTGACATTATCAGGCACAATGTGCTATGTGCCTATGTGATTTACAAGTATTAATTCATTTAAGAGTCACAACTGCGTAAAGCAGATTCTATTTATTATCCCCTCTTTAATACATGAAGAAACTGGGTCATAGAGACGTTAAGAATAATTTGTCCAAGGTCATGCAGCTGGTATGTGGCAGAATCAAGATTTAAGCCCAACTCCATAAACACTGACCTCTACCTCTGCACCATACAACCTCTCAGGAGGAGGAAAATGAGACGCAGAGAGGTTATCTGGTCCAAGGTCACACAACTAGAGTGCACAGAGCCAGGGCTCAGAGCCTTGCTTTGCCTGACATCAAAATTCTTGCTTTCAACCAGGTGCAGTAGCTCACACCTATAATCCCAGCACTTTGAGAGACCAAGGCAGGAGGATTGCTTGAGCCCAGGAGTTTGAGATCAGTCTGTGCAACAGAGGGAGATATTGTCTCTACAAAAAAATTTTAAAAATTAGCTGGGAGTTGTGGTGTGCAGCTGTGTATGGTCCCATCTACTCAGGAGGCTGAGGCAGGAAGATTGCTTGAGCTGGAGAGCTCAAGGCTACAGTGAGCTGTGATCATGCCATTGCACTCCAGCCTAGGCAACAGGGGTAGATCCTGTCTCAAAAAAAAAAAAAAAAAAAAAAAGTCTTGCTTCCCACTGTATTTCACTACTGCCTTCCTCTTGCAGTGGCTGAACTATTTCATCCTACCCTTTAGGAACAAATTCAGATAAATCTTTTCCCTTTCTGATTCTCTGTTTTCTCCTCTCTCCTTAATTCTCCCGTTCATTCTTTCCTGTCTCCATTTCTCTTCCTTTTCTCCTATCTTCTTTCTTTTCCTTGTTTCACTTCCTTCTTTTTCCCTCCCTTGCTCATGTCTCAAGTCGGCCAGTGACACCCAGAGTGGGCAATGAGGGCTGAAAAGGTTAATGAGTGCTGGCACTCGTTAATTTAAGCAGAGTAACTGCCAATCTTGCCGAAAGCCCATTAACAACTGAAACAGTGAATGCTTATCTCAACAAACACTGACATGATGAATTGGTCCAATTGTTGTGACAGGAGCATTTCGATTTTCATTATGGTCAGCCTATTGACCAATTAGATCGGATCATTAAGTGCTCACTGGATTAATTGTTTAATAATTTGATCAAGGGTTTGGTTATTGACGTAAATGTTCAGGTTCACCAAATTACATAACCTTACCCTTAGCTGGGTCCTAGAGAGGCCAGCAGGCACAAAAGTATAGCCTGCCAAGAAACTTCCCAGTTTATTGACCGGGGGACAATATGGGTTTATAAGAGACCCCCCATTTTTTCAAATAAAGGGATTAAGTCGTCAATGTTGTTGGGCATGGTGGCTCCTGCCTGTAATTCCAGTGCTTTGGGAGGTCGAGATGGGAGGATTGCTTGAGGCCATGAGTTGAGACCAGCCTGAGCAACACAGCGAGAGCCCATCTGTACGAAATAAAAAAAATTTAAAAATTAGCTGGGCATGGTGGTGCACGCTCGTAGTCCCAGGAACTCTGGAGGCTGAGGTGGGAGGATCACTGGAGCCCAGGAGTTTGAGGCTGCAGTGATCCATGATTACACCACTTCACTCCAAGTTGGGTGACAGAGCAAGAACATGTCTCCAAAAACAACAATAACAAAAAGTCATCAATACCTCAACAACTCCTGAACATTCATTCATGTGTACAATTCTTTTGGTACATGATACCATCTATACATTTTCTATTCAAGTTCTAGTGCTGTCCGGGACTCTGACCCAGATCTTTTTCTTTTATGTGTCTGCCTATTCATTCCCTTTTCTCTTGTTGATGACTAGACTCTCAGCTGATGTTTCTAACAATCTTTCTGAAGCCTCCACTTGGCTATCCCTCAGGCATCCTAAATTCAACCAGCGTTCCTCGACCTTTCCCCATATAATTCTGTTAATGGTATTTTTCAGCCCCATAAGCTAAACTCTTTGATTCGTCCTTGAGTTCTCCTTCTCCTACACCCCATATTCAGTAGGTCTCCAAGTTCTGTTAGTTTATACCATGGAGATGACTTCTAAATACCTTCATTTCTCTATCCCTACTATGATTGCTTTAGTCTCTCATCTCTTATGAGATGATTGCCGCAGGCTTAAAATGAGTATCTGGGATAGAATATGTGTTTGCTTCCTTATTTGTTTTCCTTCACAGTCTCTAAGTTACTTAAAGGCAAGAACTATGTCTTATTTATCTTATTTATCTAATTCCTAGCAGAATGGAGATGCGCTCACCTCACTTTAGTCCACTATTTATATTGCTGCAGAGCTTTGCTTTCTACAAATCAGTCATCCCTTTATTTCCATCAGTTTCCTATTACTTACAGAAGAAAGGTTAACCACATTGCCATGGCATACAAGGCCCTTCACAGTGTGGTCACAACTTAATTATCTCCCTCCTTATTTCCCACCATTCTTCTCTGATATGGTTTGGATCTGTGTCTCCACCCAAATTTCAGGTCCAATTGTAAACCCTAGTGTTGGAGGTGGAGCATGGTGGGAGGTAATTGGATCATGTGGGTGGATCCTTCATGAATGGCTTAGTACCATCCTCTTTGTTCTGTTCTTGTGACAGAGTTCTAGCGAGATCTGGTTGTTTAAAAGTGTGCTGCATTTCCCCCGTCGCTCTCGCTCTTGCTCCCACTCCTGCCATGTCAGATGCCTTCTCCCCTTTGCCTTCTGTCATGATTGTAAGTTTCCTGAGGCCTCCACAGAAGCCAAGCAGATGCTGGCATCATACTTTCTGTACAGCCTGCAGAACCATGAGCCAATTTAACCTTTCTTTCTTTCTTTCCTTTCTTTCTTTCTTTCTTTTCCTTCCTTCCTTCCTTCCTTCCTTCCTTCCTTCCTTCCTTCCTTCCTTCCTTTCTTTCTTTCTTTCTTTCTTTCTTTCTTTCTTTCTTTCTTTCTTTCTTTCTTTCTTTCTTTCTTTCTTTCTTTCTTTTTAAATAAATTACCCAGTCTCAGGTATTTATCTATAGCAATGTGAAAACAGCCTAATACTTTATCTTCCTAACTCTCCAACTGAAGCCATATGTTCCATTTCTCTGAAGAGGCCATGCTCTATGTGTCCCCATGACTTTACACATGCTGCGGCACCTGCCAGGAATCACCTCCTTGTGCACTGACCCCAACACTGCCTGGAAAATGATGGCTTTACCTTTTGAAAACCAGCCCAGTGTCTTTGCCTCTGGGGCTCCTCAGACACCTTCCAGACAGTTCCTTCCTCTGCAACCATCCACCACCTTGATTATTATCTCCATATTTAATGTTGTTCTGGAAGGATTTATTTACTTGCATCACTGTCTGCATTCAATTCCTACGGCTGCTGTAATAAATTATTGGAGTCTGGGTGAGTTAAAAGAACAGGAACTTATTCTCTTGCAGTCCTGGAGGCCAGAAGTCTGAAATCAATATTAGTGTGTTAAAATCAAGGTATCAACAGGGCCATACTCCCTCCAGAGTCCAGAAACTCAAGGGTAGAAATAGTTCCTTGTCTCTTTTAGCCTTTGGTGGCTGCTGGCATTCCTTGACTTGTGGCTGCATCAGTCTAATCTCCGTCTCCATCTTCACATGATCTTCTCTCTCTCTCTTTCTCTCTCTCTCTCTCTCGTGTCTGTGTGTGTGTGTGTGTGTGTGTGTGTGTGTGTGTGTGTAAAATCTCCTTCCATCTCCTTCTTATAAGGATTGGCATTTAGGGCCCACCTGGATAATCAGGGATAATCTCTCCAACTCAAGATCTTCAATCATATCTGCAAAGACCCATTTTCCATATATGGTAACATTTACAGGTTCTAGGGAGGATTAGGGTCTGATATTTTGCCCACCATTCAGTCCACTACACTGTCCCAATAAACTGGGACCTCCTAAAGGGCAGGGACAGGGTTCTGCTCATAATTTTATTCCCAGCATTTAGGACTAATAGGGATTCAACAAATGTTTAATGAAGAGTTGGAGAACAAATAAACTAAACACTCTTATTTTGCAGGTATTGACTATGAATTTGTTCAATAGTCATTTATTGATCATTTTTTTAATGTACCAGACACTGTCCTAGGCATAGAACATACAGTAACAACATAAAACACACATAGCTCTGCCTTCAGGGAGCCTACATTCTAGTGGGGAAACCAGACATTTAAAAGGAGCACACACAAACAAATATATAAGTATATGATATAATAAGGGTTAGGAAATAAAAGTGCAAAGATCAATGAGAGAGAATAAAGGTATGGAAGTCAGCAAAAGCCTCTTCATGGAAGTAACTTTGTAAGCCAAGAGCTAAAGCATGCATTATTGCTAAGTGAAGAGTGGAAAGAAGTACATATTCCAGGCAGAGATCATTACTCCAGGCTGTAAGGCAATAAAGAGCTTGGTGAATCCAAGAAATAGAAAGAATTCTGGAGAGGCTGGAGTATAATTTTTCTAAACTAGAAATGAAGAAGTGCTGTCAGGGCAAATCATGCAGCCTTGGGATTATTACAGATTTTGAATTTATTCTGGAAACATTCAGGATTTAAGACCAGTGAGTGACATGACATTATGAGATTTTAATTTTACATTATATCTCTGGCTGCTCATTTGAGTACTAATTGGAATGGTAAAGACAGGAAAGGGGAGACCTAGTGGAAGGTCAATACAGAAGTCCAGATAAGAGTTGATGGAGACTTGGACTGGAGTGGTAGCATTTAATATAGGGAAAAGTGCACATATGAGATATATTTGGCAAGTAGAATGGATAGGTTCCACATGCTAAATCAGAAATGCCTTTAAAAATATATTAAGTTCACATGTTCATCTGGTCTGGTCTGGTCTGGGTAGAGAAAGTGCAAAAGTCAGTGGAGTAGATACCTATAGTTATTTGATTTTTGACAAGAGTATCAAGGCCATCCAATGGCGAAAGAATAGTATTTTCAACAAATGGTGCTGGGACAACTAGATATCCAGAGGCAAGAGAATGAAGCTGGACCCCTACCTTACATCATATACAAACATTTACTGAAAATGTGTCAACTATCTGAAATTGAAGAGATAAAACCATAAAACTCTTGGGAGAAAACATAAGGGTAAATCTTTATAACCTTGGATTTGGCAATGGATTCTTAAAAATAGAAGGCATAAACAGCAAAAAATTTAGATAAGTTGGACTTCGTCAAGATTAAAAACTTCTGTGTATCAAAGGATACCATTAATAAGTTAAAAGGGAACCCACACAATGGGAGAAAGCTTATCTGGTAAGGACTTAGTATACAAAATATATAAAGAACTATTATAATTCAATAACAAAAGGCAACTCAGTTTTTTAAAAAAGGATAAATGACTTGAATAGATATTTCTCCAAAGAGGATATACAAATGGCCAAAAAAGCATATGAAAAGAAAAGATTAACAACATCATTAGTCATTAGGGAAAGGTAAATCAAAACCACAATGACATAACACTTCATACCCACTAGAATGGCTGTAATAAAAAAAATGGAAAATAACAGGTGCTGATGAGGATATGGAGAAATTACAATTCTTGTGCATTGTAAAATTGTCCAGCTACTATACAATGTAAATGGTCCAGCTACTATACAAAACAAGTTGGCAGTTCCTGAAAAGGCTAAACATAGAATTACCATATAACCCTGTATGATTCAAGGTGACGCATTACCCACGGTTAAATTCTATCCAATGAGAAGGAGGAAAATGGTGAAAAGAGGGCAATCATGGATCTAGCTAAAAATTCTACTGGAAGCAATAGAAGTCCCTACCTTGGTTCTCATGAGGAAAATCTAACCTGGTAGTGGAGATTACTGAGAACAGCAGAGCCAAGACATTTCTCAAAGAAATGAAGCCAGACCAAGCCTTCCCTGAAGCCCACCTCTGAACTTTTCAGTTGCCTGAGACTTAACACTTTCTTTATTTTTAAACCTATTTGAGCCGGGTGTGGTGGCTCACGCCTGTAATCCCAGGACTTTGGGAGGACGAGGTGGGTGGATCACCTGAGGTTGGGAGTTCGAGACCAGGCTGACCAACATGGAGAAACCCCGTCTCTACTAAAAATACAAAATTAGCTGGGCGTGGTGGGACATGCCTGTAATCCCAGCTACTCAGGAGGCTGAGGCAGGAGAATCACTTGAACCCAAGAGGTGGAGGCTGCGGTGAGCCAAGATCATGCCACTGTACTCCAGCCTGGGCAACAAGAGTGAAACTCTGTCTCAAAAAAACACAAACAAACAAACAAACAAATCTATTTGATTTGCAGTTTCAGTTATTTGCAACTGAAACTATCTGCTTCAGTAACTGTGTAGTACTTTTCAATCAAAACATCTTACAGGGGCTTACCAGTTTATATGCAGTACAGGGACAACATCATAAATTATTTAAAGTTGGAACCACCCAGAACATTTGGGGGAAAAAACAGTCACTGTGTAGTTTTAATATTGATTCACACTCCTCATTAGCTAAAAATTCAACCATAATTTTTTTGCGAAGTCTTGAATACCATGGATTAATGAGTCCAACGTCTTTACTGTACAAGTTGTAAGGGTACAATAGAAGGTAGTATCATTCAACACAAAACTAAGAATATCTTATTGGGGCTAATATGGGGTCTTCATGACTCATGGACTCTGGCTCCTTCCATCTTGTTCTATATCCCCTTAGAGTGTGTGCATATGATCTCAAATAGCTCACCAGCACATCTGAAGTCTCGTCAGCAGGAAAAGTGAAAGGAAGGTCATCCCAAGGCCCTCTGAGGAGTATGTATAAATTTTTATGGAGAGAAATTATCTATCAATAATCCTTTAGGTTTTACCAAAAAAGAACATAAATAAGGGTTATCATTTACATAATTTATTTGAAATTTTAAAACAACGTTTTATTCCCAAAGCAGTAAAATAAAACAAAACACCAAATTATCATAGGATTTAGGAAAATGTTGAGGTAAAGGTGCATTTTAGGTCATCAATTGATGTTGAATGAATGGATGATAAAAGACCGATCACAGAAAACTTGCTAAGAAAATTGCATCAAAAGAGATGCTTATTTCTGTTACATAAATCAGAGATCTTGAGTTGGTACCCCCAAACTCACAATAGATATGAGAATGTTCAATTCATATTTTCTGCTATCAAAAATTTTACTTACAGTCTCAGAGAAAAAGTGTCTAAAAACTTGAATATAAGGAAATGAGTTTTTTCAAACAAACAGGAAAGACAAAAGGGAATATTTGCCATCAGGAAAGGGTTACCAAAGTGGTCTTAGCCTTCACTGCTGAGCCCAGTATCACTTAGCATCTTAATAATATGCTCTGGAAGACACACTGTATAGTCAGACCTTTGTATGTGACAACGTAGTGTTGGAAAATGAAAGGACAAGCCAATAGGACTGACCCTGTTTTGAAGACTTTTAAGGGCTCTATAAATATGCAGAGGTGGAATATGAAATTTGGAGTTGAATACTAATTCAAGTAAAATGTATAAGAGAATGAATTTTTGAGCTTACAGTTGTGTGTCTAGAAAGGGATATAGAATTCACAACGGTCTGTCCTCTGACTTTGTCTGCCTTTCCTTGCTGGATTAGATTGGATCAGCAGGGTGTCAAAGTAAAATATTTTTAATGTTACAGAACAAAAGAGAAAAGCCATTGGGAATTCTGTTTTCTATTTTTTAAAACAGGGCATTGTAGTACTGACTGCAAATACATCAAAGTCAATTATTAATTAGTATTAATTAATATGGTCAAGAAAAATTTCTTTTCAATAAAGGAAGTTATTTTTCCTTCCTCTTCATACCCTACGTCCATAATGCGTGTGTTCCTCCCTCTCTGTTTTTTTGTTTTTTTGTTTTGTTTTGTTTGAGATGGAGTCTCACTCTGTCGCCCAGGCCTTAGTGCAGTGGCGCGATGTCAGCTCACTGCAACTTCCGCCTTCCAGATTCAAGCAATTTTCCTGCCTCAGCCTCCTGAGTAGCTGGGACTAGGAGCGCCCGCCGCCAAGCCTGGCTAATTTTTGTATTTTTTAGTAGAGACAGGGTTTCACCATATTGGCCCAGCTGGTCTTGATCTCCTGACCTCGTGATCGCCCACCTCGGCCTCCCAAAGTGCTGGGATTACAGGCGTAAGCCACTGCACGTGGCCTCTCTCTGTTTTTAAAATTTTGATTACCCAACAAAGAATACATTAAAGTTGGCAACATTTGCATGTTCAATCTCTTCATAATGTATTAAAAAGACTTTCAATGATTATAAATAGTAACACTAGGACAAGAAGTACTTAAACTTACAATGGGTTGCATTAATCAAAGAGGTATAATAATTAATATATACTATTATAATTATAAATAATAAATTAAAATATTGTGATTTTCTCATAGGAACAATGCTGCAATAACAGGGTTATGTTTGTAACCAAATGTCTGATGCCATACATTTTTAAATGACCGCATCATCATATTTAATCAATTCTAAATTATATGCCACACAGTAATACACTTTTTAATGTGTATGTAAACCAATGACCAATTCAGTTCCATAACCAAGTGTAAGAATTATATTTATTTAAGGGAGCCTATGGAGAATTTTGGTGGCAGGAGCAGTGCTGATCTGTAAGAACGGTTGATCATCCCAAGAAATACTGTATCTGGGACTCAGAAAGCGGAGCAGTTCCTAGGAAATGATCTCCATACAGAAGAAACCGGGGCCCTGAAGGTTCAAGACCAATGGAGGCAAGGTAGGCCCCAGTCCATTCTTACACACTTCAGTTGGGAGAACCTGAGGGTGGTCTATCAGCAGAGAGGAGAGAGTCTGAGGACTTAAATATTGAATGCCTAGCAGGGCCAGGTAGTATCTCCTTTTACCCAAGCTTTGGTTGGCCCTGGGGATCTCCTACACAAAGCTTATCTGTTTTGCTCATTTTAGATGTTCTTTGTTTCTAGTTCCTCTGTTCAGCAATAGGAATAGTAGCATTTAATCTGTCCTGTGAGCACATCTAGAGAATGGCATTTTTGCCTCACATTTACCAAAACCTTAAAAAAAAAAAAAAAAGATCAGTGCTATTGAAACAGGTACAAAAGGTGAACAATTACAGTTTTTCTTCTCATCTAAGCCTACTAACACTACCAAAATTTCTATCTTAAATAATTCTTGGTTAGCTTTTTTGTTAACAAGTAAAATTGGCATGATAGAAGGGAACTTTCCATTTTACCCTGAAAAAAAGATTTTTTTTTTTTTACAATGATCTTATGTAACTTTTGCACCAAAAAAAAAAAGTTTTCTATTTTAAAAATGAGCATGGGAAAGACTGTAAAGAAATGGATTGACTTGAATCAAATTAAGGAAAAGTGGAAAATAAAATAAAATAGATACGGTAAAGCTGATTGATGCAAGATCTTGGGTATTGAGTACAGCAGTTGAGGCTTCCCCTGCTTACTGGTTACTTTCTACTCAAATTAGAGCAAAGAGAGTTTACAAAAGGATCTCAAGGATGAGAGTTAAGGGGTTTGACTGTGGGGAAAACTTGTTCCAGGGGTAGCCCCTAACTCTGCTAGTCCAGATCCATGGTAACAGCAACAACCATCTCTTCTCCTTCAGAAGAAATTCTCCAAGAGCCTCATCATCTCACCAGCTGTCATGATGCCAATCTTGTCAATCTGTGATTCCAGAGTAGGGCCATAGCACAAAAGGGAGTTAACAAAGGAATTCAATGATGAAAACAGCATTTCAGAAAATTAACTTGGTAGCAGCATGTAGTATGAACTAGAGGATATAGTAGCAATAGGAAAAAAAACCCTAGAGGGAAAGTAGAAAATAGTGTTTATTGGGCACACACTCTATGCCACAAATTTGATTTTCTTACATAATTTAATCCTAAAATAACCTCTCTTCACTCTGTAGAAGTTATTATTCCTATTTTACATATGAGCAAATTAAAGGGTAATTAAATGGCTTACCCATGTTCTCACTGCAGATAAGTTCAGAATCAGGGCAGAGGCAGCCTTAATGGAGATGGAAGGATGAAGCTAAGAGATGCTGTGGAGGAGGAAGGGGATTTGGTGACTCCACAAGAAAGTTGAAAATGAAAGAGGAATCAAGGCTGATTTCAAACTCCTAAGCCATGGTGTTAAAAGAGTAATGCGAATGAAATTGGGCAAACCAGGAGATAAATTTGTAGGAAAGGAGTGTTTTTTTAAAAAATGTTAACAATAAAACTGTAAGTATTTTTTTAAAATTCAGCAATACAATATGATATATATTGAAAAGTAAAAATCTTCTTCCTTTTCCCATTCCCACTCCCAAATCTTAGTGACTATTTACTGCTTCTTGTGTATCCTTCCTTAAAAGTTACTTTTACACAAATAATGATCATACACTACCATTAATAGTGTATTTTTAAACTGGAGCTTTCCAGGTATGCCTCATTCTTTTTAAAAGCTGCATAGTTTTTCACTGTACTCACTTATCCTTAACCAATTCGGTACTCACTTATACTTAACCAATTCTGTATTGATAAGTATTTTGGCTGTGTTTAGTAAGATTGTTTATGGTGTTGTTTTTGCCACTATTACTGCTTGCAACTACAAAATATTGCTGCAATGCAAATTCTTGTATGAAATTTTTTTCTTTTTTTAATTTTAATTTTTATTTTTGAGATGGTTCCTCCTTATGTTGCCAGGTTGGAGTGCAGTGGCTATTCAGTCACAATTATAGTGCCCTACAGCCTCAAACTCCTGGGTCCCAGCAATCCTCCCTTCTCAGCTTCCTGAGTACTGGGACTTCATGTATGTGCTTCATTTTTAACTGACATATAGCAATTTTACATATTGGTGGGTTACATAATAATAATGTAAAGTGATCAGATCAGGGTAATTAATATATCTATCATCTTGAACATTTATCATTTCTTTGTGTTGGGAACATTCAATATCCTCCTTCTAGTTGTTTGAAACTGTATATTATTGTTAACTCTAGTCATTCTACAGTGGTATAGAACACAAGAACTTATTTATTCTATCTAGCTGTAATTTTGTATCCTTTAGCAAATCTCTCCCTACACCCCTCTTCCTTCTACCTTTCACAGCCTCTAGTATCTCCTGTTCTACTTTTTACTTCTATGAGATCAACTGTTTTTTGACTTCTACGTATGAGTGAGAACATGCAGTGTTTTCCTTTCTGTTCCTGCCTTATTTCACTTAACATAATGACCTCTAGTCCCATCCACGTTCCTGCAAATGACAGGATTTCTTTTTATGGCTGAAAAATATTCCACTGTTTATGTAAACATTTTCTTTATGGCTCTTTATGGTTCATTCATCTGTTTTAGGCCACCTATGTTGATTTCATATCTTGGCTGTTCTGAACAGTGTTGCAACAAACTTGGGGGTGCAGATGGCTCTTTGATATACCGGTTTCCTTTCCTTTAAATAAACACCCAATAGTGGGACTGCTGGATCGTTAGGTAGTTCTCTTTGTAGTTTTTTCCAGAAGCTCCATACTGTTCTCCATAGTGGCTGTACTAATTTACGTTCCCATCAACAATGTATGTGTTCTCATTTCTCTGCAACCTCACCAGGATTTATTTTTTGTCTTTTTGATAATGGTCATCCTAAATGGAGTGAGATTATACTTCACTGTGGTTTTGATTCTGATGATTAGTGATATTGAGCATTTTTTCATATATTTGTTGGCCATTTATATGTCTTCTTTTGAGAAATGTCCATTCAGATCATTTGACCATTTAAAAATCAGAATGTTTGGGTTTTTTGCTGTTGAGAAGTTTGAGCTCCTTGTATATTTGGGATATTAATCCCATGTTTGATGAATAGTTTGCAAATATTTTCTCTCATTCTGTTGGTTGTCTTTTTACTCTGTTGATTATTTCCTTTGCTGTGCAGATGCTTTTTAGTTTTATATAATCCATTTGTTTATTTTTGCTTTTGTTGCCTGTGTTTTTGAGGTCTTATTCATAAAATCTTTTCCCAAACCAATATCCTCAGGCATGTCCCCTGTATTTTCTCCTAGTATTTTTTATGGCTTTGGGTCTTACGTTTAGGTATTTGATCCCTTTTTAGTTGATTTTTGTATATGATGAGAGATGTGGGCCTGGTTTCATTCTTCTGCATATGAATATCCAGTTTTCCTAGCATCATTTATTGAAGAGACTGTCCTTTCCTCCAATGAGTGTTCTTGGTGCCTTTATCAAAAATCAGTTGGCTGTATGGATTCACTTATAGGTTCTCGACTCTGTTCCATGGGACTATGTGTCTGTTTTTATGCCAGTACCGTGCTGTTTTGGTTACTATAGGTTTGTAGTATATTTTGAAGTCTAGTAGTGTGATGCCCTCAGATTTGCTCTTTTTTTCCTCAGGGTTTCTTTGGCTGTTTGGGATCTTTTGGGGTTCTATACAAATTTTAAGATTTTTTTTTCTATTTCTGTGAAGAATGTCATTGATATTTTCATCAGGATTGCACTGAATCTGTCAATTTATTTGGGTAATATTGTATGCAATTTTAAAACATATTTATGAACATGTATTTCTCTCTCTTTTTTTTTTTTTTTTTTCTTTTTGAGACAAAATCTCATTCGCACTGTCCCCCGGGCTGGAGTGCAATGGTGTGATCTCGGTTTACTGCAACCTCCGCCTCACGGGTTCACATGATTCTCCTGCCTCAGTCTCCCAAATAGCTGGGATTACAGATGCACACCACCACACCCGGCTAATTTTTTGTATTTTTAGTAGAGACAGGGTTTCACTATATTGACCAGACTGGTCTTGAACTCCTGATCTCGTGATCTGCCCTCCTCAGTTTCCCAAAGTGCTGGGATTACAGGCAGGAGCCACTGTGCCCAGCCTATGAACATGTATTTCTAAGAGAAATTCATTGAAATGGCAGAGCTGGCTGGGTGCAGTGGTTCATGCCTGTAATCCCAGCACTTTGGGAGGCCGAGGTGGGCGGATCCCCAAGGTCAGGAGTTCAAGACTAGCAGCATGGCCAACATAGTGAAACCTCGTCTCTACTAAAAATACAAAAATTAGCCAGGTGTGGTGGCAGGCGCCTGTAGTCCCACCTACTTGGGAGGTTGAGGCAGGAGAATTGTTTGAACCTGGGAGGTGGAGGTTGTAGTGAGCCGAGATTGCACCACTGCACTTCAGCCTGGGCAACAAGAGTGAAACTCCATCTGAAACAAAAAAAAAGAAAAGAAAAGAAAAAGGGAAAAGAAAAGAAATGGAAGAGCTAGGTCAAATAATTTCTTTTAAATTTTAATAAATGTCTTTTAAATGTTGATAAATACTACCAAATAAACATACTAACAAACAGTCGTACCTACAGAACACAGGAGGGCCTGATTCTCCACACTTTTATTAGAATATATATATGTGTGTGTGTGTATATGTGTGTGTGTGTGTGTGTGTGTGTGTGTATATATATATATATAATTTTTTTTTTTTTTGGAAATGGAGTCTCACTGTGTCACCTAGGCTGGAGTGCAGTGTTGTGATTTCAGCTCGCTGCAACTTCTGCCTCATAGATTCAAGTGATTCTCTTGCCTTAGCCTCCCAAGTAGCTGGGATTACAGGCGCCTGCCACCACACTCAGCTAATTTTTGTATTTTTAGTACAGACGGAGTTTCGCCATGTTGACCAGGCTGGTCTCGAACTTCTGACCTCAGGTGATCTGACCTCAGGTGATCTTCCCGCCTTGGCCTCCCAAAGTGCTGGGATTATAGGTGTGAGCCACAGCGTCCAGCCAGACTGTGTATTTTCAAACTAATTCATCTTGCCAAACTGACACATGAATAATGTTACTATATGGTTTTAAGTTGCTGCATGAAATGTTTTTCGAGTTTGAGGAGCTGTAAGGTCACTTACAAAGAGCATTCTTGTAGGTAGCTAGAAGTATAGGATCTACATTTGAATGAACAAGGAGGAGTATAGATGTTGATTTTGGAATCATGCCCACGAAAAACTAAAGTGTTCTAAAAAAGTAAGTGTACAGTTAAAAGAGCAGAGGAACAAAACTAAACTCTGGGGATGAGAAGTGATGACAGAAAGAGGAAGATGAATAAGCAATAAGGAAACTATAAGGCCTAGGAAAATTCAGAGAAATTTAAGATTACAGAAGGCAAAGGAGGAGAGTCCAGGAAGTGAGACGTGTCACATGTTGCATCAAGAACCAGGAAAATAGCCAAAAAAGAAGTTATTTGCTTTGTCAGATAAATGAAAACAGGTTTATTCAGTTTTATTATCCATATGTGGGAACTCATGTAAGCCACATCAATGGTTGAAACCTTTACTATTTATTAGAAAATTCCACCATAACATGACTGATGAGAAACCCAGCCAACTCTTCAAATTTTTCCAGAGATGAAGTTGGCCCATTTCCAGAATGTTAAATAATGCTGGCAATAAAATGGAGAATAGTTTTGAAATGACCATGCTCACCATCCCATCCCAATGTACCCTGCACACCCATTGTTTTACTAGCAGTTGCACGTCTTAAATGAAGACCCTAGCAATGGAAGAGGGCTGAAAGGTTGAAGATAAAAGGTTATCGTGTTATATCTAAATGTATACAATTTAATCTTTATTCCAATACTGCTATAAGAAGTCTATTCACACTACTACACATAATAAAATGAACTGAAATAAGAAGCAATAAAAAAATCATGACTTATTCTTGGAATGAGAATCATGAACCCTAGGTAAATGATGTCAAGACTGTGCAAAGTGTACTTTCTGCCAGTGTCTTAGCATCGCCTCCCACTCCCTTCCTCAGCCACCCACACCCTCCATATATATCTGAAGATGACTTCAACTCTACTATGCCACTCTAATCCAAGCTCTTCCAATGGAAGAAGAATGCCTTATAATTTTATTCTACAGGGTTATTTCTTGTCTTCCTTTTGTACTCTCAAGACTCAGGTTTGACCAAGATAAAAGACATCAGAAAATATAATTTGTTTCTGACTGGTGATTACTCACTGATTTTACTTTTTGCTCTCTATTCTGAAATATGAGTTTTTATCTGATGTCTCTGGACTCATCTGTGTGGTGGTGGTGGTGTTGCTGCTGCTGTTTTAGTTTTTTAAGAGACAGGGTCTTGCTATGATGCCCAGGCTGGAGTGAGGTGGCTATTCAAAGATGCAATTATAGCACACTACATCCTCAAACCCTCTGCGCTCAAGTGATCCTCCCGCCTCAGCCTTCCAAACAGTTGGGACTACAGGTACACACCACAGTGGCTGTCTCTGGACTCATCTTTACACTGAGAGGGATTAGTAGAAATTCATATTAAATTTAGGAATTATATATTTGGTGGGTTAGACTCCTTTTGGGGTCAATCTTTATGAAGTACATAATAATAACTGTCTTGGCTGGGTGCAGTGGCTCACACCTATAATCCCAGCACTCTGGGAAGCTGAGGCAGGTGGATCACCTGAGATCGGGAGTTCGAGACCAGCCTGGCCAGCATGGCAAAACCTCATTTCTACTAAAAATACAAAAAAAATTAGCTGGGCGTGATGCCAGTCACCTGTAATCCCAGCTACTCGAGAGGCTGAGGCAAGAGAATCACTTGAACCCAGGAGTTGGAGGTTGCAG